TTAAGGAATTTGGAGCCCGACCCCACAATATGTAGATCGGAGCCAACTTTTTCTTCTATCAGACACCGTGTCTCTGATTTGATATCAAGCTCCTTGATCCATTTTGAGTTAACTTTTGTGCATGGTGAGAGAAAGGGATTCAGTTTCATTTTGTTGCATATGGATTTCCAGTTTTTCCAGCACCATTTGTTGAAGGTGCTATCCTTCCTCCATTGCATGCTTTTAGCCCCTTTATCAAATATAAGATAGTTGTAATTTTGTGGATTGGTCTCTGTGTCCTCTATTCTGTACCATTGGTCCACCCGCCTCTTTTGGTACTAGTACCATGCTGTTTTTGTTACTATTGCTCTGTAGTATAGTTTGAAATCTGGTATCGCTACACTCCTGCTTAGAATTGCTTTTGCTGTTCTGGGTCTTTTATTTTTCCATATGAATTTCATGATTGCTTTTTCTATTTCCTCTCCACATAACCCATGCAAAGCTCTAGTTCAACATCTGTCTCTATGGATTTATATTTTTATGGTGTTCCATATGAATGGGATCATAGCTTCTTTCACAAAGCATATAGTTTTCAAAGTTCATTCATATTGTAGTAGGTATGAGTACTTTAATCTTTTTTATGCTTAAATAATATTCTATTGTATAGGTATGCCACATTTTGTTTATTCATTTTTCAACTGTTTTTACCTCTTTCCTACTGTATAAAGTCCTTGTTATGGTTTGGATATGAGGTGTTCACCCAAAAGCTCATGTGTTGGACAATGCAGGCATGTTCAGAGGTGAAATAATTAGATTATGAGAGCAACACCTCCATAGATACAATAATCCATTTGATGGATTAATAATTAAATGGATTATTGGGTAGTAACTGTAGGCACATGGGGCATGACTGAAGGAGGTCACCTGGGGCATGCCCTTGGGAATTATATTTGTCCCCAGCTCATTGTCTCCCTCTGCTTCCTGGCTCCTGTGAGCTGAAAAGCTCTCTTCCATCACACACATTCTGCCATGATGTTTGGTCTCATCTTGGGCCCAAAGCAATGGAATTGGCCAACTATAGACTAAGACCTCTGAAACTGTAAGCTCAAAATAAAACTTTTCTCCTTCATGTTATTCTTGTCAGGTTTGTGGTTATAGGAATGAAAAACTGACTAGCAATGCTGAATTGAACATTCATCTGCAAACATTTGTTTGATTCCCTTTCAGTTTCTCCTAAGAGCAGACCTGCTGGTTCATATGGTAAAACCAAGTTTAATTCTTTGAGAAACTATCCAACCAATTGCCATAGCAGCTGTGCCATTTTACATTTCTACCAGCAAAATACAAATGTTCCAGCTTTTTTCCATATCCTCTCCAATATTTGTTATTTTCTGATTTTTTAAAAAAATTATAACAAAGTAGTAAATGTGATGTTATCTCTCAGTGTGGTTTTGATTTGCAATTCCCTGGTGACTAATGATGTTTAGTATCTTTCCTTGTAATGTTGATAATTTCTATGTCTTTTATGGAAAAATAACTATTCAAATTTTTGTCCATTCTTAAATTAAATTCTTTATCTTTTTGTTCTTGAGTTGCATAACATGCTATCAGTTTCATTCCTTTCAACATGTTTATATAGAGAGATATAATATAGAAGTATGTAGAGATATAGACAGACACCGATATAGATGCACATATCCTGTGTTATCTTTTCATTCTCTCAATGGTGTCCTTAGATTCAATTTTGATAAAATCTAATTTATTCCTTTTTTTTCTTTCCTTACATGTACTTTGATGATACAGCTAAGAAATCATCTACTAGTTCAAGATCTTGAATATTATCTATGATTTATTCTAAGAGTTTTAGTTTTACCTTTTATATTCATTCCTTTGATTCATTTTTGAGTTAATTTTTGTATATTTTTAAAAGTAAGGTCCAACTTCATTCTTTTGCAATTAGATACCCAGTGTACTTAGTATGATTTATTGAAACAAACATTATTTTATCATTAAATGAGGAAAAGTTTGTTTCAAGGCTCATGGTTTCAGAAGTCTTAGTCCATGGAAGGCTAGCTCCATTCCTTGGGCCTTGAGGTGAGGCAGAACATCATGGATGAAGAGTGTAGCATATGAAGCAGTTCACAGGGTGATCAGCAAGTAGAGAGAGATAATTTCCCCTACCAGATACAAAATATATACCCCCAAATCATGCCCCCAATGTCCCACCTCCTCCAGCCACACCCTATCAGTCTTCAGTTATAAGTCATTTAGTTCATATCAGGGAATTAAATCACTGATTAAGTTTAGACACCCACAACTCCATGATTTTTTCTCTGAACCTTCTTGCATTGTCTTAAATGTGAGCTTTGGGGGATATTACATCTAAACTATAACATTCCGCTCCTGGCCCTCAAAAACTCCCAACCTTCTCAACAACGCAAAATATACTTTGTCATTTCCCAGAGTGTTCACAGTCTCAACAGTTCCAATATTTCTCAAAGTTCAAGTCCAATGTCTTCTCTGAAGCTCAAGGCAATCTCTCATTGTGAGCTTCTGTAAAATTAAAGCAATTTAAACATATTCAATATATAAAGATACAGAATAAACATTTCCATTCACAAAATTAGGGGCATGGAAAGAATGCATAGGACCAAAGCAAGACCAAAATCCAGCTGTACAAACAAATCTTGTAGCTCTATGTCTCCCATCTGGGGTACTTGCTTGTCTCTGGTCAATTTCTGAAGTTTTCCTAGGACAATGTCCCATGATACTGGCATTTTTTAATCTCTGTTGGTGGGGGTCTCCACTGCAGCTTTAGCTTCCTCCTCAAATTTCCATACCTTGCCTTCTTAGGGAGAGCCCTCAGGGACTCAAGCTCTGCAGCACTTTTGTTGGCTTCCAAGGCCTTCCTTGTAATCCTGGTGGAAGCTTTCATGACCCCTTAACTCCAACATCATGCATTCCTGTAGAACCAGCACCAGATGGTTGATGCCAGGGTCTGCCACCATCTTGAGCAGTTTCCAAATCTCCACAGACCCTAGGTGAAGTGGTCTCTGAGTGCCTATACAGCTGAGCATGTTGAACAACCTTCCTAGGCCCCCTTGTGCAAGAAGGGTGCCTCACTGGTCTCTTCTCAAGAGAATTTTCACCTTACTTCCTTGAACTTGAGATGGGTGTGGTCTTGCCAGCTCCTGAGTTGCCCTCAAGCCATTTTTATTATTGTCTCTGGGCAAAGTCTTTAGTATTTCTTCAGTGGTGGTAATGTTTTTAACAACTACAACTTCCTTAGACCCAGTTTTAGTCCCAACTTTCAAGTTCACTTTTTCCAAATCTTTCTGCTCTGCTTTTTGCGCCTGATCATCACAATAAAGTTGGCTAAAAGCCACCAGCAATATATATCCATGCCACTGCCTAAATGCTATGCTGCCTAGAAATTTCTTCTACCAGATTAAGAAGACCATTGCTTTTAAAATTAGCCTCACAGAAAGTCTCAGGACATGGACAAAATACAGGCAACTTCTCAAACATAAAATGATTTGTCTCTACTGCAAATTCCAATGGAGTCCTCCTTTTTTTGAATCCTCTTGAGCCCTGTCTTCACTGATCATGGTCCTATTGCCATTCTAGTCTTCTGAGCTACCACCAGAATTGGCCATTAATCTCTACTTACAACAGTCTAAAGTATTTCCAGATTGTATTGCTAAACATCTCAAAATTTCTCCCACCAATTCCAAAAACTCAAAAATCTTTGAATCACATGATGGGTTCCATTGCATCAATGACCATACTCTTTAGTAACAATTTCTGTTGTAGTCAGTTTTTTTTTTTTACTGCTATTACTAAATGACCTGACCAGCACAAATGTAGAGGAGGAAAAGTTTATTTGAGGACTCAGAGTTTCAGAGGTCTTGGTGCATGGGAGGTTGGTTCCATTCCTTGAGACTCGAGGTGAGGCAGAAAGTCATGGAAGAAGGGTGTGGCAGAGGGAAGGAGCTCACATGTTGATCATAAAAGAGGGAGATACTCCATTCACCGGATACAAACATACATGCAAAGCCACACCCCAATTCCCACCTCCAACAACCACACCCTGCCACTTCAATTACAATTTAGTTAAACCCTAACAGGGGATTAAATCACTGATTGGATTAAGACTCTCACAACCCACTTGTTTTTCTGGAATTTTCATGACTTTTGAAGAGTACTGGCTATTTATTTTGGGCAGTGTCCCATCATTTGGATTTTCTGATGAATTCTCATAATTAGATTGCGTTTACCCATTTTGGGGAAGAATGTCACAAAACCATTACACTCTTTTAGCAAATCATA